GTTACTAATAAGATTAACAAAGCATTGTAAATAAAAACAAACCGTATCTATATATATTGGATAAGTAGATAATAAAGTCAGTTGCTCACGAACCTGTGTACTGTTACTATGCCCTAAAACCCCTTTTTTTTCGATCATTCTTTCAGTCTAATCGTAAGTGGTGCCGAAACCCGGGAGGAATTCCGAATTTTACCGCGCGGTTAATAGTATCGCGAATTTCGGAAGAATCACTAGGCGAACCCACACAAGCTTCTAATCGCGACAATTACGATGGAAGAACAATTGAAAAAGCTGGAGTACCAACTTGCTCAGTCTACGGTGGAGAGACAGAAGTTGGAAGCGGAGCGTCAGAAACTAGAAACGCAGCTATCGAAAGCGACCGAAAACACGCAGATCGAGTTGCTTAAGATAAGGACGCAGAACTCGGCATTTATTCACGAGGTAATTAGCCAGTTAGAACCGTTCACAGGTGTAGTAGGTGATCTCGAACACTTTATCAAAGGCGGTGACCAGATTAAGACTTTGATTACCGCCAGACAGGAGTCAGGCACGTTGCTTGAGTCTGACGTAAAAATATTGGAAGCCTCTTTGATTGGGCGTATCTCGAGGCGGGTTTTGAACGCCGTACAGGGCGATTTGACGGTCTCCTGGGAGACGCTGAAGATACGGCTCAAGAAGCTATACGGCGGTGGCAGGTGGACCCCGGAAGAGGACGTTTTTTATCTGTTTAAAGAGCGCAGAACCCAGGGCCAATCGGAAGGCGAGTTCGCCGAAAAACTATTGGTGTTATACAATAGACTGACGGAGAAGATGGTGGAAACATGCGGCCAGGCGGAGGGAGCCCAGAAGATGGAGTTTCTAAGGGGCGTGCTTAAGGTACAACTAAATCATTATTTGGACCGTCCGGGATCACTGCCCAGAGACCGCGAGTTTATCGAGTGCGCCCACGACCTGATCGATGCGAGGGAACGGAACGAAACTCGCTTCGAAAAACCGGAAGCGGAATGGACGGAAGTGAGATCACCGAGAAGGCGGCAACGCAGTATTACGAGGAGGAGTAACACTAACGGAGGCTTCGAAAAGCGACCAAGCAAGGGCTTTGAGGACGGGAGACGGAAGCCTGGGCGCCGTTGCTACGAATGTAATCGAACGGGTCACGTAGCGGCCCAATGTAAGCTCACGAGGTGCTACGAATGCGGCAGGCAGGGGCACGTTGCGAGAGAATGTCCAAGGCGCAACCCCCGACCGAACAGGAGGGAACCACAGCACGAGCCCATGGAGATCAACAACCAGGACTGGAGCGGAAGACGGACTGGCAGGAGAGGCGGGGGACGCTACACCAGCGGAGAATCTTCGGAGGACGAAAGCATCCGGTCGGGGCGCAGCGGTCCGACTACGAGGAGGCAAGAGGTGAGTGGAGGGAATCCCTGGAGGGGGGGACCGTCAGGAACGGAGGTAGCGGTAGGACGCGCGCGCTCGGACTGAGGACGCGACAACGGGTGGGGCAACCGACCGGGGGGTTTAATTATTAACAACAGCGCGAATACAGGACAGCGGACAAGGTTGCCCGTGGCGAGACTGAGAGAATCCGGCATCAAATTTCTCATTGACACGGGGAGTACGAATTCCTTGATCAATATAGGGGCGGCGGAGAAACTGGGAATCTGGGCGAAACGGGAACGATGCGACTGTGCGGTGTCAACGATTCATGGCAGGGGTCAGACGCTGGGGGAGACACTTTTTGACCTCAAGGAACTCACGGGACGTGACTCGCGGATCACGATACACATCATTTCGCAGTTGATGCAGGGTCAGGATCTGATAGTCGGGTGTGACATTTTAAATCACGTTGGGTTTAAAATTAAGAATAGGGACGAAACATGGCGGTATAAAATAGGGGAACGATACTACGAGGTAAAGATGATAGGAAGTAGAGGACTCATGGAAGTCGGGGCCGTGGATTGCATCGAAGACTCGCTGGCGAACTTAGTCGCGCAAAACGAGGATTTATTCTACCACGAAAACGAGTACCTACCAACCACGGGTCGAACGGTTCATAGAATAAATCTGAAGTCGAAAGCCGCAGTTTACGTTAAAAATCGGCGTTACCCGCAAGCCATGAGAGAAATTATCGGAGAACAATTGGCGGAACTTCTTAAGCAGGGCATTATTAGACAGAGTAATTCCCCCTTTAATAGCCCTCTGTGGGTGGTAGAAAAGAAGCAGGGCGGCAACGCGAAACAGTATCGAGTCGTAGTTGATTACAGGAAACTGAACGAGGCGACTGAGGACGAGCGGTATCCTCTTCCTCGGGTCGAGGATATTCTGGATCGACTGTCAGGGGCGACTATTTTTAGCACGCTGGACTTAAAGAGCGGGTATCACCAGGTCCGGATGGCCGAGGAGGATATCGGTAAGACGGCCTTTTCGTGGGAAAGGGGACACTTCGAATTCGTTCGAATGCCGTTCGGGCTGAAAGGGGCCCCACTGACTTTCCAACGCCTTATGGACGAACTACAGCGAGGACTGGGCGAATCTTACTCACAGGTCTATATGGATGACCTCATCGTTTTTAGTGGAACTGAGGAGGACCACGTGCAACATCTCAAACGCGTTTTTGACAGGGTGCGCGAATTCGGCCTAAAGTTATCTCGAGAAAAATCTCAATTTGGGTTACGAGAAATCAAGTTTCTAGGACACGTGGTCTCACGGAACGGGGTACAGCCGGACCCGCAGCGGGTAAAGGCCATCCTGGAAGCACCCTTACCTAAGAACGCCCGTGGGGTTAGGCGATTTTTGGGTATGATAAATTACTATCGCAAGTTTATACCCGGGATAGCGGAACTCACGCATCCATTGACCGAAACATTGAAAAAAGGGAGACGGTTTCAATTAGGTCCAGACCAGCTAGCGTGCATTAAGAAATGCCGGGAGATTTTGACCACTCGGCCACTACTAGCTTTCCCCGATTTCGCTAAAATGTTCAAAATCACCACAGACGCCAGCGAGGTAGCTATCGGGGCCGTGCTCTCTCAGAATTTCGAAGGTGGCGAGAAACCACTAGCATACGCGGGACGGAAGTTGAATGAAGCAGAACAACGCTATAGTGCAATCGAGCGTGAGCTTTTGGCGGTAGTATGGGCTGTGGAATACTTCCGACCATACGTTTACGGGAGACGGTTTCAGTTACTGACCGATCATAAGCCTTTATTGCACCTCGGAACTCTTAAAGAATCTTCTGCACGGGTATCACGGTGGAAGGAGCGTCTAGCGGTTTACGACTTCCACGTAATACATAAAAAGGGCGTCGACAACGCGGTCGCCGATTGGTTGTCACGAGACCTAGTAGTAAACGCGATCGAGGACGAGGAGGTCCCGACAGAACCATTCGCGCTACGATATCTACGCGAGTGGGCGGAAGGCGGACCAGAGATTCCCTTAGTCCAGAGTGAGGCCGAGGAAATTGCTACACCGACGGACAGACCCGCGGAACTGCCTGAAGTAGACGAAATAATTAACAATAAAAGACTGCAGATCATTATAAAATCAAAGCAGGACTCCGGAATAGAAACCAGGGCGAGCACGTATGAAGGTTCGTCAACTATATTAGTTCGCACCCCCGCATCTATAGATGAAAACGCGTTAGAACGTATATTCGTGGAATTCAGTAACCCAGGACGGAATTGCTATGTCTATGTGGGTAATCGGATGATTGCGGAGAAATTGAAGCGGTTATGGCGCCAGGAAAGGATAGGAATGGGGTACTCGTTAGTGCGGTGTTTACGTCAGGTAGAAACGATTACAGAACCAGCGGCACAACGGAATCTAGTAGCGGAGCACCATTCTGGGAAAACAAATCACCGGGGAGTAGAGGAGACTCTTCGTGCATTGAAATTGCTCTATTATTGGAAAGGTATGGGCCGTACCGTACGGGACTGCGTAGCGCAGTGCGAGGTGTGCCAAAGAGCAAAGTACGATCGTCAACCTCCGGTAGCCGAACAAGTAATCACCCCTACCGCTATAGAACCCCTGCGATCCATACAGGTAGACGTTTATTCCAACGAGGGACAATCATGGGTAACGGCGATAGACCCGTTCAGTAAAATTGCTATGGCCTATCCCATTGAGTCAAAAACCCCTGGGGCAGTTTGGGAAGGAATCTTGCAATGGTGCGCATTTTACGGTGTCCCAGACGAAATCGTCTCAGATTGCGGGAGAGAGTTCGATAACTCGCTAATTCGAGATGAGAGCAAGATATTGGGCATCAATTGGCGTTTGAACACCCCACATCATATTAAGGGAAGGGGCGCCGTGGAACGGCTCCACAATACTTTAGGGGAACACTTACGGTTGCTCAAGTTAGGTCGTGACCTCGATCCATTCGATGCTATGCCACGCGCTGTCATAGCCTACAATAATACCATTCACGCCGCGACGGGATTATCACCAGTCGAAATAGTGTTCGGACAGAGGCGCCGGGATAGAGGAGATCTCATCACGGCTAACAATAACGACCTTAAAGCTACCATGTATCAGGCAAGAGTAAGGCGGCAAACAATGTGGGGGAAGGTACGAGAAAAATTAATTCGTGAGAAGCAAACCCGGGTGGCTAAGGCAAATAACCGACCCATAGTTTATAGAAAGGGCCCGTTAGCGCTGGGAACCATAGTGTATAGACGATTACGCACCGCTCGCACTAAAACAGCCGCGAGGTATGAGGGACCTTATAAAGTCATCACCATACGGGAGAATAACCTATTTACTATCAGGGATGTAAATTACCCGTTTCGGTCACGTACGGTACACCTTGAAGAGCTTCGGGTACCTCAGATTATGCCAGAAAACGAGTCGGACGGCGGCGCCCAGCCTGGACCATCTCGGGGCTAGGAAGTTTTTCTTTTCGTACTTTCCATTTTTTTTTTATGTTTTTGCGGTATTGAGTAATTTCTGTTAAATAGCGTTTACAAGTAGAGTGAAAAATGTTTTTTTGTTGTTGTTAAAATCCATTGTAGATAGGTTAAGTTATTATATTTTAGGATATCTGTATTTGTTTTTTTAGGTATAAGTATGTTAAGCAAGTGAATCTGCTACCTAGTGTATTATTATTTTATTTTTTCTTCTTCTGCTCTGCTGAAAGTGTTTGAGTTTGTGTTTTATGTTCTATTTTTTTATTTTTATTTTTATTTATAAGTTCCTCCATACGAAGGAACTGGAGGGAGGGAGTTAGCTGAGTATAAGCCATAAACAATAATAGGAACTGTGTTACTAATAAGATTAACAAAGCATTGTAAATAAAAACAAACCGTATCTATATATATTGGATAAGTAGATAATAAAGTCAGTTGCTCACGAACCTGTGTACTGTTACTATGCCCTAAAACCCCTTTTTTTTCGATCATTCTTTCAGTCTAATCGTAAGTTATATATATATATATATATATATATATATATATATATATATATATATATATATAAAAACTTACTCATTAGTCATTAGTCACATTAAAAACAAGTCTTGAAACATATCCGTACATAGAATATAGAAATATATATATATATATATATATATATATATATATATATATATATATATATATATATATATACACCAAAATATAAAAACTTACTCATTAGTCATTAGTCAAATTAAAAATAATTCTTGAAATATATCCGTACATAGAATATTATTCTATGATAGTACTTGTTTTATTATAAAATGCTTTGTTTTATTTTCAATTTTCTCCCGAAAAGCCACTAAATTTATCTTTTTTTTCCCTCATTTTATCAAAAACTTGATTCTTGATTTCCTTTCTCTCTTGATCATCCTCATTTTATCTCCAGTGAGCTGTAGTCTAGACTTATTTATTTATTTTAATTTATTAGACTTATAACATTTATTTTAATTTGATCTATTGCAATATCATTAATTTAAATGAGTAAATTATAATTCACTAAGGACATTTTTTGGATTGGCCTTACCTTAACTTCTATAATCTTTATGTAATGAAGTATTGATATTCAACTTTAAAAAAAAAAATTATTCATAAAAGATGATTTTGGGAAAGAGACTATTATAAGTATTAGTAGAAAAAGGCCTTTACAGTCTTGATAAATAATCACTTTATTTCTAATTTATCTTTGACTAAGTGTGCAAGTGTGCTATTACTGCACTACTATAACCGAGTAAGTTTTTATATTTTGGTATATAAAGGTCATTAATTCAATTAAGGTATTAATTCAATACCCGTCGTAAACCAATGACTTCCTGTCCTACAGTTTCCTTTAACAATACTCCACTTATCCCTGTTGAGCAAATCCAATACTTAGGACTCCACCTGGACAAACGACTAACTTGGAATCCTCATACTAGACTGAAACGACAAGAAACCGCTCGTCGTTTCCGATTACTTCAGCACTTACTAGACAAACGCTCTAAACTTCCCATTATTTACAAAAGACTCATATACTTGACTATAATAAGACCTATTTGGACTTACGGAGTTGAGCTATGTGGTTCCACTAAACCATCGAATTCCTCTCGCATCCAATCTTTACAATCCAAAATCCTTTCGTAAAATCCTCAATGCTCCTTACTTTGTCACTAATAAAATTATCCATAAAGATCTTAATGTTCCTTATGTTTCAGATCTGGCCCAATCCAGATTCCTATCCTTCCATAATAAACTTCAGAATCATCCCAACCCTCTCGTTTCTAACCTTGCTTCCTCTTCAATTCCTGATAAATTCAATACCAAGACAGATGCTTGATAAATTGTTAAAGAGAAAAAAATAAAAAATTATTGACTCAATCTCATTTTAGATAAGATTTATTTATTGTTAAATTGAAATGATGATTAACTACTGTTTTAAGTTAAATGTTGAATTTGTAAAATATTAAAGATTAAATAAATCAAAATAAAAAAAAGTTAATATTGAGAAAATAATTTCTTCAATTACTGACTACACTCCAAATTTTTCTGGATGATGTGAAACAATTCAAAGTAGACTTCATGGAAGATATGCTATATTTGTTTTAAGACAAATTTAGGCCTAAAACAGTAGGGTATGCAGAGAAAAAAATTGTCTTTCTTTAAGCGAAACCAATTTGAAACAATGAATACTAAATCTTTCAGTTGCAATTGTCATAATCATAATCATTCTATTAGAAATAAATACCATTGTGATTAGTACCATAGACCGATGCTGATAAGATACTAAATGTTTCACCTGATGGTACCTCAGACAGGTTATCAACACCTGTTCTGGCTGAGAAGGTGACATTTCATTAGCATTCTTAATTAGTTCCTTAATTCCTTTCCTGAGTACTGAAGCACCTGAGGGAATCGTTAACTAATTAAATGATGCAGGGTCCGAATTAAAGTTTAATAAGATTTGAACACTTCTTTTAGTTGCTGTTAATAAATTAATTTCATCGAGTGAGAATAATAATGAGTTATTTTTTTAATTAACCAAGGTAAGGAAAGTATTCTAATTGGATTAAATGTTTGATGTGTGGTTTTTAACAGATATTTACATTTCACAACAGCAGCCTGTTCAGGTTTTGACTATTTTTTGAAAGGTTATTACATTTCCTAGGGGAACTACTAGCTTAGTCTTAATCTTGTAAAGACAGTTTCTGTCCTCAGAATCATAGTCTAAATTGAAATCGACAAACAAGGCTTCCACATCTTAAGCTATTTTCCAACGTTTTTCGAGCACCTGTCAAACATTGAACACATCACCTAGCATGAGTTTTCCTCTTATGAATCCTCCTTAGCATTTATTATATTATCTTAATACGAATATATCCCATATTGGATTACAAGATCTAAGTTCAACGTTCAATATAGAGCAGGATGAGCTATGATAGCTAAAATAACTATTGAAATTTAAGCAATTCTGCTCAATTATAAAAAAAAACAAAAACTAAGAGATGTGCTTTAGACCAAATGTTAGAAATGAAAACATCAACAAGGCGATTTTAATAATATGAAATATAGATTATAAATAATAGCTCATTATAAAGAGGATGAAATACTGAAAATTTTCTTTGCATTTTAATTTCTGAGATATTTTAGTCTATCTCTTCAATAAAACTCATTATAATTTGGCTTCCAATACTATCTTTTCTTTTTTGCCGCCCTAACACGGTGCCGCGTTAAGATAAAATTTTGAATTATAGCTTATTACAGAGAGGATGAAATGCTGAATAATTCTCTTGGTTACAGTATAAAGGTTCAACATTTATTTTGTGAGATATTTTAATCTATATCTTCAATAAAACTCATTATAATTTGGCTTTCGATGCTATTTTCGTTTTTGCCTCTCTAACACGGCGCCGCGTTAACATACAACATATAATAGCATATTATAGCTCATTACAGAAAGAATGAAATGCTGAATAATTTCCTCGGTTACAGTATAAAGGTTCGATACTTAGGTAATGATATATTTTAATCCATATCTTCAATAAAACTCGTTATAATTTGGTTTTATACTATTTTCCCCATTTTCGGCTTTCTAACATGGCGTCGCGTTAAGATATAATTTGGAATTATAGATTATTACAGACAGGATGAAATGCTGAATAATTTCCTTGGGTACAGTATAAAGGTTCTACATTTATTTTGTGAGATATTTTAATCCATATCTTCAGTAAAACTTGTTATAATTTGATTTTCGATACTATTTTTTCTCTTTTCGGCTCTCTAACACGGCGCCGCGTTAACATACAATTTTGAATAATAGCTCATTACAGAAAGTTATATTGTGAGATATTTTAATCCATATCTTGAATAAAACTGGTTATAATTTGGTTCTCGATACTATTTTTCTCCTTTTCGCCTCCCTAACACGTCGCCGCGTTAAGATAAAATTTTGAATTATAGCTCATTACAGAAAGAATGAAATGCTGAATAATTTCCTCGGTTACAGTATAAAGATTCGACATTTATTTTGTAAGATATTTTAATCCACATCTTCAATAAAACTTTTATTATTTTGATTTTCGATACTACTTTTCCCCTTTTCGGCTCTCTAACACGGCGTCGCGTCAAGATAAAAAAAATTTAAATTTATTTATATGATATTCACAACTGTATACAAAAAATACATCTAGTAAATTCGCACATGGATATAATGGCATGAAATACATGTTGAGAAACTACCCATTGGTAGCACTCTAATAATATGTCTATATTAGGAGATCACGTGGCCATCTTCTTTTCAGGCGCCTCGGAGGGTTATCAGGAATTGAATTGGAAGCAAGGTTAGAAACAAGAGGGTTGGGATGGTTATGAAGTTTATTATGGAAAGACAGGTATCTGGATTGGGCCAAATCTGATACATAAGGAACTTAAAGTCATTATGGATGATTTTATTTGTAACAAAGTAAGGAGCATTGAGGATTTTACGAAGGATTTTGGATTTAAGGATTGGATACGAGAGGAATTTGAAGGTTTGGTGGAGCCCCATAGCTTAACTCCGTAAGTCCAAATAGGCCTTATTATAGTCATGTAAATGAGTCTTTTATAATTAACTGGAAGGTTAGAGCGTTTGTCTAGTAAGTGTTGGAGTAGTCGGAAACGTTAAGCTGTCTCTTGTCGTTTCAGTCTGGTATGAGGATTCAAAGGTAGACGTTTGTCCAGATGGAGTCTTAGGTAACAAGATAAAATTTTGAATTATAGCTTATTACAGAGAGGACGAAATGCTGAATAATTTTCTGGGTTACAGTATAAAGGTTCGACATTTATTTTGTGAGATATTTTAATCCATATCTTCAGTAAAACTTGTTATAATTTGATTTTCGAAAATATTTTTTCCCCTTTTCGGCTCTCCAACACGGTGTCGCGTTAAGATATAATTTTTAGTTCCCATATAGAAAAGATGAAATGCTGAATAATTTCCTCGCTTGCAGGATGCCAGTTCGATTTTTCGTATTTGAGATACTTTAATCCATATGCAAAAACACTTCACTTAATCGACTCCAGCGTTACACATCGGAGATCTGACGGCACAATCTAATTCACTCTCCACAAGAAAAGTGCAAAATGTGTCTAAATAAGTTTTCACTTAAAAAAACAAAACAATGTCACATAGCTTCCAGAAATAGGGCAAGAGCTTCCATAAATATTTTCAGACAGGAAAAATATAAAATTGAGTAGGTGCCTGAAATTATGGACTTTTATAACTATAGATGAGAATCAATAGTTTAAATAAAATATGAAAAACGAACAGACATTGCTTACAAATTAGAATATTTTCAAAATTAAAGTTACAGATGGATACTGACCTTAGCATGTACAAGATCTCTCCGTCTGGGTTGATCCGGATGAGGACATTGGGGACCGTGACGAATTGGAACTCTGCGTGCTTGGCGTTGGGGAAGTAGACTTCCGGCTTCCAGATGGCTTTGACCAGGTTGGGGTCGTTGAGGTCGAGGACTTCCGTGATGTCGGGGTGCTGCAGGCGCTCGTCGTGCCACTTCTGCCGCAGGTACAGGTCCACCTCGTAATCCTGAAACACGATAATGTTTTTAAATACGTAATTAGCATTACTTGAATACGTAATTACCACGAAAAAAAAATTAAGCCGTCCACGCCGATTCGAACCGACGCGGCGTCTTTATATTCGAGAATGTTAAAGCTTATGCTTTAATACGCTCATTACTGAGTTATTGTGAATTATTTTCTCACCGATTGTGGAAATAAAAACGCTGCAAATTATTTCACAATGGTTAAGTATTTCCAAACAATTATACATCTAAAGTAACATTACCTTTAACATTACACATTAGTAACATTAACATTACATTTAAAATAACATTACCTTCCGAGTTACAAAGAAAAATAAATAAAAGGTGATTTCAATTATAGGACTAAACTTTTTTTTTAATCATTAGTAATATGCTAAAAAAAAAATAACATTACTTCAGTAACACATTCAAAATTTAAAAACCAAACAAAGGATATAACATTTGGAGTAGAAGATATAAAAACCGGAGACCATATCTTTACTCCTAATTTTCCGATTTTAACGATTTTTTTGTTTGTTTTTTAGGAAATTTCATAAACTTTTAAAAAACTATTTTAACCGGACGGCGGACGGCGGACGGACTAAAAAATTTGTATTCTTTTGTCGAATTCTACGCATCCTGAAACGTGAAACCTCAAATTTTGAGAGGGGGTTAAGTTTTTGAATTTTTTGATCGATCACAATGGTTGATTATTGAAAATAATAAACCGAAAATATGTAAAAACCGCGATATCTCTGCTAATAGTGCTTTGATTTCGATGAAATTTCCTTCATTTTTAGGAAATTTAAATACCTTTGAAACATCTTATCATAATATCAACAAAAAAGTATGAACTTTTCGAGTTATTCGGAATTTAATTTTACCATCCCTCGTAACTTTTTTTCCAGCTTCTTTTCGTTAATGTTATACAGATAAATTTAAAGGGCGTCGAGAAAATGACTTTAGCGAAGTTTCATTGAAATCTGTACATTCGTTTAGAAGCTACAGTCTATAGCAACGCAGGTTTTTCTGCCGCCATTTTAAAAGTAAAAGGCTGATAGTAATGCCGATGAAGAAGGATCATTCTTAGGTGACCTCTGATTTTATATCAAAAATTGAAAAAAATCGGTCCAGTAGTTTCGGAGAAAATGTGCGGACGGCGGACGGCGGACTTCGAAATGCAGGAGCTGAATTTCACACTTACCAACTCCGTGAAGATAAAAATATGAGAGTCTTCATTAAAAACCTTCATCATACAAGTCCCGTTTCGGAAATAAAAATTATTATTGTTTGGTAAAAAGCTGAGGGATAGGGTCCCTCAAATGTATTTCAGTGTATATTATTTATATATTTAGTTTCATTTACGAAGTATTATCGCGTTTATGTATGCGTTCCAGCCTGGCAGTAATATTCAGTCTCAGGGATTAAGACAACAAAATACTGCGATAAGACTGCCGGAAAATCAGTCAGCAGCGAGCTTTCGTAGACGCAGGTTCTATGTATTTTTATCATCATAAACCCCCCACTCCGCCAGCCGCTTTTGTCTCACTGTCGAGGGTTACAGCTGTTCCTTGGCATCGGCAGTCATCGATCGAGATCGATAGGCCTATTGACTCGATACTCCACATCATGGCCTGCTTGACATCGTATCAAGGTAACCTCGTTGAAACTAGACACAACACAGAACAGAACTAGACGTTTAACTTCACGAAAAACGTATAGACGTTGCCATGATAACAGAGGCGCACCTTACACCCTTTGGTATTTCTGGCTAGGTGGCACACAGGGCAGACCACTCTGACATCACAACACACGGAGGCGTTGCTATACTTATTAGATCGCCACTATCCCACAACCATTTACATTTACCTTCTACACCTGACATACAATCCTGGGGTATTTCAATATATATGAAACACAAAACAGTGACGCTAGCTTCAGTTTACTGCCCTCCAAAATTAAAAATACATAGAAGTATAATTTTTAATCCATGTGGAGAAGATAAAATAATTATCCACGAAAAGTCAAACAAGGCCTGTAGGAAATGAGCATAGAAGAAATGACAACGTGGTCAATTAAATCCATTTTCGGGAGGAGGGGGGCAGGGAAAGGAGACCGTAGACTAATTTCAGTGCATACATGATAATAAGCGGGATGGTAAAAGCCATTATGGGCTACCGGTAGCTTCCCGCCTTAATTGCTTCCCGCCGGCGGCAATGCTCTTCCCGCCTCTCCCTTATCATTCTATTATCTCTTTGGCTATTAAAAATAAATTGAAATGAATCAATGTATAGATATAACAATAAATACTTTTTTTGTTCTTCATCCTCAGAGTACAATATTTACTAGTTTAAATGCTAAGGTTAAAAACATAACTAATTATTCTTTCTTTAAAGTATCAAATAATTTTATTGCAATGAGGCTTCCATTCTCTATTAAAAAATATGTAAATCGTTTATTTGAAAGAAAGGTAATAAAGAGTAAAAAGAAAGACAAAAGAAAAATGTAATATTTTCTATTGCTGTACTTTTCTTCTAAATGAACGATATCATCGTCAATGATTTAGAAGATTATTTCCCTATTCAGGACTGAAATATACGTTTAAATCAAGATTCATAAAAAAAACAAAAAAAAAAAAACTAATTATCTTTTTAAAATTGTATCAAAATATAAATACATTGGTAATAACAGTTTTAAATGAGCACTGGTGACGCGGTTGAGAGAATAGCGCAGGGATCTCCTGGAGTCCTGCTTTTCCTTCTATAGTTGGAGGGAGAAGCCTGGCTTGGTTTTCCCTACCTGATTGTATATATTGTAAATAGGCATGACTGAGTTTTTATGTTTTTTAATTTACTTATCTTTAGGTTATTTTATTTTTTATTGTACATAGTTGTTTGATTATTATTTAGTTATTATTTTACTTTTGTTAATTTTATTTTTACTGAATATATGGTATGAATGAGTTCATATCTCACTATAATTATTGTCCACGTGACAGATTATTATATTTCTAAATAAATAAAAAATAAAATAATAGTTTTAATTTGAGTGAAATTATTTCTGTAATCTAAAAATTAAATCTTTGTTCCAAAAACTTATATAACAATTCGGAAGATGCAAATGGAGCCTTTGATCATGGGTAAATAAACAAAGTGTCTATTTAGGACTAGAAAATTTTATTGCTATTTCATTTTTTGCTTATTAAATACTCGTATATCGATATATAACAAGATTAAAGAGGAGGGGGTAGCTCAGTAATCATAGGAAATTTCATTGTCAATGTTTTTTCAGTTGCAACTTAGAGTTTTTCGCTTGCAGCTTTTCAAGTAAAGGATTTAAAGAAATTTTATTTTTAAAATTCTTTTATTTCAAAGTTCTGTCGATTTTGCTAAAAAGTCGATCTAAAAAATTATTTCTGTTCCTGACTATTCAAACAAACGACACATGATAATCATTTGTAATTCATTCAAATCAAATTATAACTCTAATCCAAACTCAATTACTGTTATTTTACATGTAATAATTTTTTTTTTAGGATTCGAATAAATTAAAGTTTTACTTTTACCACAAATCTGAAACTTTATTACAAATATTTCCTAAAAAGTTTTTAAAAAACCGTTTAAACGGAACTTTTTAAAAACGTTCCATGAAAGTTTCACCCCCTGCTTTACATAATATAAAGAAAAAATAAATAAATAAATAAAAATTAGAAAATTCATTGCAAAACTGGGACTTGGAGTAGATTACGAAGAAGGCGTAAGGTATATACCCGGCCCGGCAGAGAGTACTGCCTTGCGGGTCTAGTGTACACATAGCGCCGGGCAGTTAGTTCTTTTTTATTTTATTTTTTCTAGATCTCTTATATATTTATTGTTTATTTAGAAATATTACATTCTGTCACATCAAGGACATTTATAGTAGTGTTCAGAGAGCACACTCACACTCTATTTACAATAAGTAAAAATAAATAATACAGAAACTAATTTTTTTTTTTTTTTTTTTTTTTTTTTTTTTTGGGGTTTTGCACAACTTAAGGAGTCATATCCCCAACACCCAAAAGCCACTGCTCCCTGTCCATCCAATCTCCCTCACGAAGCCCTCTGGCTGCCATGCTTTCTTCCACGTCCTCTGTCCATTTCTTCTTTGGCCTTCCACGCTTCCTTCTTTCAGGTGGCATATAGTTATAGATTTTCTTTGGCCAGCGGTTCTCATCCATCCGCATTAAGTGGCCATACCACTTTAACCGTTTGGTCCCGATCAGGTGAAGGATGTTCTTTTGACATCCGACCTTGTCTCTAATAACTGCGTTTGGGATCCGCTCGATTCTGGATATGCCACAGCTTCTACTATTACTTCTTATTACTACAGAAACTAATAATAATAAAAATAAATTTATATAAACAAAAGAACTAACCTAATCAAACATACTTTACACATATTTTTTATTGGATATTATTTTTTCTTTGCTTCATTATTATAAATATTGAATATATTAGTATAAGTATATTGCCAGTAATGAAAATACAATATTTCGTACTAAAAAAAATTGAAATAAACAGAAAAGAGTTTCATTAACAATGGTATGGAACTTGGCCACAACTTTTAAGAAACTATTTTTTTACTTTCAATCATTTATATACAAATTTTATAGTAAAAGAAAGTATTGTAGTAGTGAAACACTTTGAATTTTTTTTTTCAATACCAATACTTGTTTTAAGATCCCGCGAAAGTTCCACTTTATATAAACTTTTTCCCTCTCTGAGATCAGAGTACTCGGAGACAGGTTGTAACATTTCTCAATAAAAGACTTTAGGAAAGAGATTTTAAGATTTAGCAGTAGAAAAAATGCCTTTCTAGTCCCACTAATGAAAATACTTTATTTTAAATTTATTCAAATTTTCTCCTCTTCAGGCATCTTGTGAATTTTCATCTGAATACTGTGGGTAATTTATTGTATCTTTTCATATATTGTATTAATACTAATATTTTATGGTACAATTCTATTTGTTTTATAAGTTTTATATTTTTTTTCTAGTAAATCTACTGGGTCTTTTAAATCTAATTCTCTACAATGGGGTATTTTGTTTTTTACAAAGGCTTGATTTAGTAATGTAGAATATTCTATTATATGCTTAATGGTTAGTGGGGACTGGCAGGTATCGCAATATGTTTGGGCCTCTTTTGTAATTAAATGGACATGAATCAGGTTAATATGACCAATTCTCATCCTTGTCACTTCCACTTCTTCTCTTCTGTTTCCTCTTCCAGCACTTATCCGCTGTTTTGTTCTTTTTTAAATATTTCTATGTTTGTTAGCCGGTGGAATATCATTCCACATGGATTCGCAATTTTTTCGTAATCTTTCTTTTTAGGTTTTTTTTTTTTGGGTGCTCTCCTATACGGGGTTTTCCCGGGCCAGAGGGTGTGAGAGGGGATTTAAAAGACTCCTCCGGCACTGGGACTATTTTAAATTTTATTTTAAATCCATTGTCTCATAGGTCAGGTGCTGTGCAAACACGTTAGCCCGTTCGGCTAACGGCTAACGTCAAACCCGCCCACCACTGTCTTTTAGCAATGTTTTTATATCACTCGGCTCGTATATTTGGAGAGGTGGGATATTCATATGAGCTGCTTTATCTGCTCCCTCATTTTCTGTTATTTCGGAATGTCCTGGAGTCCAGAAAAAAATTATACTTTTATTAGGATTGTTTATAATTTCGATGTAATGGTGGATTCTGTTTGTTGTAGGTCCGGTTTTATTGAAGTTTGCTATACTCTGAAGGGCGGATATTGAATCAGAACATATTATTATTTTCGAGCTTTCTGTATTTATTGATAAATACAATGCTGCAGAAATATGCTGTATATATTGCTGAGGTTGGGAGTAATTTATACTTATTGTGTATTCCATTTATAATTACTGCAAAAGCAACATTATCATACTGTTTGGACCCATCAGTGTATATTATTTCGTGATCTGAATATTTTTGAATCTCATTGAGAAATTTGAGTTTATTGGAACCTGAGTTTTTGTGCTTAAAAGTGAGGTCTATTTTAACTGGTCGGTATTTCCAGGGTGCATTGCTATAAGTGAGTAAGTTTCGATTTTTATATACAGATTGTTGACTGATTAATATTGGTTTTTAATGTTATTATGCATTTTATTAATGCGCTAATGTCTACTAATAAATCCACTGAAAGAATTTTGTATATATTTTTTCAGATGTCAATTCACAATAAACTTTAATTAAAATCAGATTTGATCCCTGAAGATGCCCGAAGAGACGAAAATTTGGATAAATTTAAAATAAATTATTTTAATTAGTGAGATTAGAAAGGCCTTTTTTTCTACTGTTTAATCTTAAAGTCTCTTTCCCAAGATCATCTTTTATTGAGAAATATTACAACCTATAACCGAGGACACTGATCTCAGAGAGGAAAAAAGTTTATATAAAGTGGAACTTTCGGCCTTTGTCCAAGTAGATTTTAACGAAAAAGATTCTGCGTCATTCCAGGTCTACGTCAACTTTAAATAAGTAATTTCAGTTTCGTGCGACTTAAGGTATTGGAGCTAGATTGTTCACATAAACACACACTAGCCATTTTGCGTCCTTGGTTATTTAGTCTCAGCGGGCCTTATAACAAGTGTTGGTATTGAAAACAAAGATTCAAAGTTTTTCAGAATTGCAATACTTTTTCTTACCATACAACTTGTATATGAATAATTTAAAGTAAAACAATAATTTTTTTTAATGAAGCAAAGAAAAAGTAATATACACTAAAAAAATAACGCAATGTTACATACGTAGTCTTGTCATAAATATTGTTACAAGGAAATAAATATATGTAGATATCAACAGAAAAATTATTTTAAAAAAATGTATCAGAAAATAAAATTTATATCGGTTGAAAGTAAAGTAAAAATAGCGTAACACATTCATTTAATCTCCGAGGCCAGTCATCAATAGCACTAGAAAGCGCACAACTGCTCGGACTAGAGATTGTTTGAGGCTTTCCAAGTTAGGGTGTGGTCTGTGGCATGCCATCCTCTCCAGTTCGGACCAAAGATAATGTAGTGGGTTGAAATCAGGACTACCTGAGAGCCAATCCGAGGCAGAGACGAACTCTGGAATGTTCTTTTGCAGACACTATTGAGTTGAGACCCTGGCTTTTTGAGCTGGAGCGGAATTCTGATAGAAAATCTTATGACTTTCATTAAACCTGAATATCATTTAGAGGCTTGACAACAGGTTCCAAAATATCGTCCTAATAGTTTTTAGCGGCTGTTTTAACTCCTTTTTCACAAAATATTTCTCAATAATCAAATTCTACTCTTGAATTAATTATAAGCTTACATTTTCTTCAGCATCCTGAAAATCTGGCTTTAAGCTGTTTAGACCCTTAGCTAAGGATAGATACTGGTAATTTAAGTCAAGCAGAAAATAAAAAATAGTGTTATGTTGAGTTGTTTACCATTTGGACCCTGTGTGCGCCATATCTTGTCCCTGTTAGTACTTCCAATATTTTTAGTTTTATTAGTCCTTAAACTGCTTTTCACAGTTTCACAGGCTTTTCCCAGCTTTAATTGCACTTTTCTATTTTTATTCGTTCTGAAAAACTAACCGAGTCGAATAATTCATAAATGAATTCAGACTTTTAATGTGTTGAATAATACCATTTTATGTTGCAACACTTTGTATAAATAATATGTTAAAAATCTTATAAATTAAATTTAACAGTTTCAAATTAAAATATGATAAAACATCTACAAATTAAGAACTTCTTTGGATTTATGGAATTACGTAAATTATCATTAAATTGATTCGCGCACATGTGGTAGTGCCAGATAGCGGACAGATGAACTAATTGACCGCTATAATATTACAGAAAAATAATAAACTATAAATTAAAGGACATGAATAGTGTATTTTTTCTTTTTTTTTTTTTTTAAATTTAACATATTCCTGGTTTGAGGAAGGGACACAGAGCTGACAGGGAGGGAGGGGATGTATTAACAAAGAGCCACCTTTATAGTCCCTTTATAGCCCCTTTCTACGAGATCCTGTTTTATGGGAGCCGAACCCTCGGCCCTCATTGGATCCTCTCGGCCATTTTATTGCTGCGGCTCGGATCGAACCTGAGCTCTGGTCCTCTGTGGAAGCTGGAGAGGTGGAGTGGTGGAGTGATGGAGTGGTGGCGTGAATGCTCGTCGAGTGAATTATCGATGTTGATAGCGCAGAAAAAATATTGGAAGGTTCGTTGCTTAAAAAAAAGAAAGTGATTAATAACGAAGAGAAGTTGGTTGGCGTTTTTAATCAAAATACAAAGTAAAAATAAATAAATTATATTTATTTGTACCGAATTTCGGTCTACATTTCAGGGCTTCGTCAGGGTTAAGTAAGGAAAAAATTATATATATATATATATATATATATATATATATATATTTTTTTTTTTTAAAATATTATTAATGATGTTTATAGTTTTGCTGATGACACCGCCATTCTATCATCCGACTCAGATCCTGATATAGCATCCTTAAACCTTCAAAGACACCTCTCCCTGATTGAGCCCTGGTGTAATAAATAGCGTATTATAGTAAACGAATCCAAATGCCAACACATCACCTCCACGCTCCGACGCAGTTCCTGTCCACCAGTACACTTTAATTCCATTCAGCTTCCTTTCTCAGACACAGTCCGGTACCTAGACTTAAAAGACAGGAACTAAACCGACGATATGGCCAACTATACCGGCTACTAAACAGGAAATCTAAACTTTCCATTGAAAACAAGTTACTGATCTACAAGACAATACTGAAACCTATCTGGACTTACGGACTTGAACTGTGGGGAACAGCGAAATTTTCTAACATCAAAGGCATCCAATCCTTCCAATCCAAAGTCCTTCGAACAATAGTCAATGCTCCTTTCTATGTAACCAACAAAACCCTACACCATGACCTTAATATCCCATTTGTCCTACACCTTATCCTAGAAAAAATCTCCAAATTTCACCAGAACCTTACCCATCATCCAAATCCCTTTGCACAATCTCTATCCACCACCACCCATCTATATAATCCTCCAAGGAGGTTAAAACGGCAGTGGCACCACGATCTTTTATAGTTTGTAAATATTGGAGTTCTGGAAATGGACAGATTCTCCACTCACGACATGAGTGTATGTGGCTAAAGCACTCTTGCTCAATCTCCACTGTGTTTAGTGAGTGACGCGGTTGAGAGAGGAGTGCAGGGAACTCCTGGAGTCATATTTTTCCCTCCACAGTTGGAGGGACAAGTCTGGTTTGGAGTTCTCTCGCCAAATTGTAAATATTGTATATTGGTGTGTATGTGTTCTTTTTATTTGGTTTATTTTTAGGTTATTTTATTCTTATTTATTGTATATATATTATTTTTCTGTATAATTTATTTTATTTATTGTACATAGAGTGTGAATGTGATCTGTGAACTCTATTATAAATGTCCTAGAGACAGATTTTAATATTTTTCAATAAAAATAAATAAATAAATAAAAATGATGTTTATAGGTACAACTGTAAATATGATACATAGAGATACAATGACATGAGGACACTTATAGAGGAACCATCCATTGGTAGCACTCTAATAAAATTTCGTTTCAGTCTTCTATGAGAATTTCAAGTGAGTGAGACCTTCGTCCAAGTAAAGTCCTAGGTATCGGATTTGTTCAAAAGGGATAAGTGGGGTAATATTAAAGTATACTGTAGGACAGGAAGTCATAGGTTTATGGCGAAGGGTAAATGTGATTTATTGGATTTTTTTAATCCTCTAGTTTCAACACATGTCTGCCGCATGAACGAGAACTTGAATCCTACAAAGGTATTAGAGGCTCGACCCAAAGGAAGGAAACCACACGGAAGCCCCAGAATAACATACCAAGAGTATATTCAAAGAATTGGATGTAAAAGAAGCAAAACCCTCAATGAGATGAAACGGTTAAGCAGGGACAGGGAAAAGTCCTTACGCTGGATTGAGGCTCCTCGACGCTTACTCATGCCATGAGAGGAAGACAAAGAAGAAGAAGTTTCGACACCATTCTTCAAGGCTAGTGATGTGAGATTGAAGAGTTTGAGAAAGAAAAGATTACATATTAATATTCAGAAAATAATTGACAGAAAAATAGTAAGAATATATTGGTAGAGTAATCTATATATTACTTTGGACTTGCTATATATATATATATATATATATATATATATATATATATATATATATATATATATATAGTAAGTCCAAAGTAATATATAGATAGTAATATATTATTAATATACTTCTATATATAGTAATATATAGAACTAGAGGAGTATATATATATATATATATATATATATATATATATATATATATATATATATATAGTAAGTCCAAAGTAATATATAGATTACTCTACCTATATATTCTTACTATTTTTCTGTCAATTATTTTCTGAATATTAATATGTAATCTTTTCTTTCTTCTAGAGGGCTATGTATATATATAGTATCTGACTAGGAGGCTAGTCATCTCCCTAGAGGAGGCTAAAATATGATTTCGAGGAATAGGGCAAAAATAAAAAAATAATATAATATGACAAGTCTTATAGATAATAAGATGATGTGGAATTCTATCTGTAGATGGGATATAAAAGTGGATCCCGAAACGTTATGATGTAATTGAGTGGAATGATTTTGGGAGAATAAATCACTGAAACTTATATAAATTGACTAAGTTTACTAATCTTCGAATTGAAAACTCCACATTTTCGAGAATTTTCGTGAATAAAAAAAAAGTGTATGTTATCATAAGATTAAGCCATTCGAGAAGTTTTGGACGGACGTTTATAATTTGATAAAAAGGGATCTGTACCACGGTCTAATGATACCCAAATATTTTCTAAACGGTTTAAATATTGAATTTCGTAAATTTAATTTCTTGTTAAGATTTTATGAGCAGCCACTATATAAGAACAGAACCGCATGTTTTGGAACTAAAATTATCAGAGGTAGGCTTGTTCCTCTTGGAACAATGGAATGGAGAATCCGGATTATCGCAAACGCACATTGGGTTTTTTATATTAGACATTTGCCCAAGGCGGTGAGGAAAGTCTTGTAAGGGAGCACACCAGATATTTTTGGCATGTAATGATATGGGAATAATAAAATATTATTAGAATATTACTACAACGTTCTTGAGTATCAAACCCAAAATCATATTATATAAGCTCTAGATCATCCCATGGTTCATTTTGTTGGGGTATATGAACCCATTTAATAAAACCTAGTGGACCGTCCCTTTCCGGGAACTATACCTACTTGTGGAGGTTCGGTGGCCAGGGAAACGGAACAATATCCTTCGAGCTTATGATGATAGAACTTTATATGGCTCTAAGAGATATATTATTATAATTTATTATCGTGGCTTCTTTTGTTTCGAAATGTCGTTATTTGCAAATCTAACAAGTTATTTACATATTTCAGTAACGGAAGTAAATTCCACCGACGGATGCCAAATCACATTTCGTTATTAATATTCATGACAGGCGGCAGGAAGTAGGTAGTGCTAGGAAGTGGCACTAATGACTCTTCGTCATTAGATGATGAAGTATCTCCTTGGTCTGAAGGGTCTTGACTCCTTCGAAGGAGAATATTTTTGAACCGTATATATATGTCGATTTATAATAACAGCTTTGAGTAATTCAATTTTTAATACAATATCAATATTCAGACTTAATGAGAATGCTCTAATAGCAGCACTACTAACTCCTCTCTTTTCGATTACCTTCTTATTGATGAACAAATATTAATTGAATTGGCAGGTAATGATGAATGAAATATTGAGAGTGATCTTGTACACTGTAAAATAAAACTTTTAAACTATATTATTCGAGGGTGTACTACATTATGATAATTCAAGGAACTTCAGGAAGAATTTAGACTAGATTCATTAAAATTGTTGTAGCCATTGCGGTATCTAGAGAAACGTATATTTTAGGAGACAGTATTGTGTGAAGGGTGCATGCCAAATAAATTATTAAAACAAAAAAGGAAGCAAAAAACCGGTTCATCCATTCAAATTAAGACCTACACAGATAGACGAATAAAAGTCACCACCTGATATTCCACTTAAAAATGAAAGAATAAATACGTGCACAATCCCCCCTTATTTCAATAGATTAAGTGGAGGGGGAAAAGAGTTGGGCAAATTTATTCAACGAAGAGAGAGGTTGGGATTAGTGAGGATTTGTGTTTGGAATTAGGTTGCTAAGGATGGTGACTTTAGTTAAATTACAATCGATTACTTTTTCGATCGAATCGTTTGTAAAGTGGTCAATTGATTGCGTTAATTTATATTAACGGTCGCCGATAAAACCACTGCCTCTTTAATTATCTGCTAATATATTTCCCGAATATTGGTGCCCTCAATAATTTTTTATAAAAAAAAACATTATCTTATA